TGGATAGAGGGAAGATTCCCCATAAGATAATTGATTTCTTCTGGCCATTCTTGGAAGTTTAAAAAGTGAGCTGGGAAATAGAACTATCTGGGATTGTAGAAGCCATAGCCAGGGGAACAATTCAGAAGCTAGCAGGTCTTCGATACCACTCTCATCTCCTACTTCGGCCATAAATTCTTTTCTTCTGGCACGCAATAAGTGCTTAATAAATGCTTGTTGGCTGTTGGGTGACTGTAGGAATATTTTGATTTCTTATTCTTAGTGGTCTTGGCCAAGTTACTAAATCTAGCAGTGGAATACATTTTATATAAATACACATAAAATCATATCCACCTCATCTACCAAAATACATATAATTAGGTCTTTATTCTAAAGATCATACTATTAGTTTTATTAAGACCATGGAAAATGAAACCACTGCATACTGTCTTGGGATTGAGTTAAAAGTAGAAGGCTCAAGAAAACTTGGTGATTTTCAGAACCAAGAATTCAGAAAATAGACTGAAATCTCTCAGAACTCTGTATTTTAAGAAAATGGCAGTCTGAATACTTCTACTTCATAAAGCAGAAGATTTAGTATTTGAAGCAAATTTGAAGTATTATTAAGTATAAGTCATTTCTACTCTTGATCTTAATGTCTTCACTTGTAAAAACCAATGATTTCTAAGATCCCTTTCTAGTGCTAACATTCTTTGAATCCACTGGACCAGGTCTAGGTCTAAACAAACAAAGAAAATGGGAGAGAAATAGTTCTATTGACTTGGTGTTTCTGAAACCCTTAAAGATCTAATATTTATTTACTATAGTATGATTCATCAATCTAAGTGACCACATAATTCCATCATTAAGAAGTTATATACAATTACAATTCATCCTACAATTATCAACTTTGAGGAACTCTTATAGCTCCAACCAGTTGTTTGCAAAAGAGCTAAACCTTTGCAAGTATGTTAGTATCAGCATCATCACTTCTTGACGGTGCTACCATATTCTGACCTTTGTCTTTGGCAATATCAAACAGGCATTTCTGAGCCTCTGTAAATAAGTCTTTAAAAAATTTGTCAGGTATATTTATTTTATCCACTGTGCATAGCAGAAAAGGGGCACATTTTATGAACATTTCAGCAATTCCTGATAAATTTCTATGATGACTTCTTTGAAACTATACTTTCCATCATTTCTTAAAATGATTGATTGTTAGTATATGGAACATTTATTGCTCTCTCTTTCTCTGAATAAAATTTCTACATAATATGTGAGAAAGATTTAAACTACATTAGGGTGAATTTAAAGTAATGCTATCAATTGAAAATCCTAAGTGGTCATCAACTCTTCTAAGGCTTCAATTTCTTCACCCCTCCTACTTCAGTCATTTGTTCACAAACTACTCTCCTGAAGTGAACAAAAGTATAAATATAATGAAAGGAAAAGCAAGAAATTTGTATTGAGATAGTTATACTAAAAGATCAACTAACATATATTATGAAGAAATCCCATAATTCTATTTCACTTCCAATTAAAGACATATTAACTTCTTTAAATAAATTATTAGGTAAAAATCTTACTGTTTGAGGAGTAGCTATACATATTTTCTGATTGCAGATTTTTGGAATTTCTATTTTATCACTTTAAAATCAATATTCTTACTATAATCAAGTATTAGATTTGTGTTTCTAGAAATGTGTGCAGTAGAAAGCTGTGTAATATGTATGCCTAGATAATAAGCTTGACCAATTTAAATAATAGGGTTTAGGAAAGGTCACCACTCGCTTGGATGCTCAAGGCCTGCAGAGGCCTTGTCTTTGCAATAAGATTGGCAAGTCATTTTCAATGCCTGAAGGGGAGAGTAAATTAATATCCAGCCTAGAAATCTCATCAAAGACTGGGAAAAATTGACAAAAGCATGATCTAAGAATCAAAAGAATCAAGAGTAAAATGATAACCAAGCATTTTCATGCAAGTGATACAGTCTCAATGAACTCCTAAGTGTTGCCTCATAGCCCTATGAATCACTTTCGTATTTAATATTTTTCCCAGCATAGCTACTTATCAATTAGCATTGCAATGTCTTAATTTAATTATGTTTAGGAGGTATATTATTTTGTTTAATCTGAGTAACTAAAACAGGAAAATTATTTTTTAAAAATTTAAAAAATGTTTGCATATGCATAGGTTATTCACTAAATTAAAAAAATAAACATTACACACAAATATACATAATACACATATTTCTCTCTCCACATATATTTAAACACCATTGTAGATCATTATAACTATTCTCAAACTCTAGCACTTGTAAAATTCTTATACACATTTGAAGAACAGTACCTTTGAGACTATCAACTTATCCCCCTTATAAAAACCTTTTTAGATTAGACAAAAGGGAAAAAAAAATTCTGTTATATGCTAACGTTCAATCAACCCAAGCTTTTTCAGGTTGAGGGACTCATTTAAATCAGCAGTTTTCAAATATTTTAAGTCTCAGGACTCCTTTTCACTTTTAAAAATTATTGAGAACCTCTGAAAGAGCTTTTGGCTATGATTTCTATAAATATTTACTGTATTAGAAATTAAAATGACTCAGTTTTATTATGAAAATAATTTTGGATTTGTGGACACCCTGAAAATGCCTCAGAGACCCTCAGCTAATCTAGAGTTACCTTGTACCTATTATTATTCACCCTCTTTCCCAAGTACATGGAGAATTTTCGGGCAAGAATATGAAAGAGTATGAAAAAACATTAGAGGCCTGTTAGGTTACTTTTAATGAGGAAATAAGGTCACTAAGTATGTAGAGGATAAAAATATTTTTTCTTTTTTATATTTAATGGGTCAAATCTTTTTAAAGTTTGGCCTTTGTAGAAATCTTTTAATGAAAATAAAATTTTGTAATGTATATTATATAGACTATTCTGAATAGTCTATATAATAAACATCCCATAATTTACTAAAAATATACCTTATGTTATACAATTAATGTGCTCCTTTAAAAAGGCACACTTAAATTGATTTTGGCAAATCAATAACAGTTTAAACTAATTTAGATGAAAAATGTTATATTAAGGCATGTAATAGTGGTTCATGATATAAATAATTATCACCTTATCTATTTTTGTAAGTTAAGATATTCATATGTTGAATTTTAAGATGGGACAAATGAAATTACTTCTAAACATTAAATTTTGTATGCCGACTTAAATATACATTTTATTTGTGGCACTGAGTATTTGAAATAAGATTATTTTTCAGTCAAATTTAACTGGTGAGCTCTAATGCTCTAGGAAAAAAAAATAATAATTTAGGTGAGTAATTCATAGATCTGAAAATTTAGCTAAAGTTTAGGCTTCCAAAAATCACATGCCTGTTTGTGGCTTTTGTTTCAAAATCAGAATTATTTCTTAGCATAAGTTACTCCATCACTGAGGTATCTAAATTCTTTTTACACCATTTCCCCTAAATGTAGTATTTAATTTTCATCATTCAAAACAATGATAACCTGAGAATTGAAGAAATGAAAAAAACAAGGTGGTTTAAGGACCTGGGACTAATGTTGATACACTTGCCACCTCTTCCCTTTTCTAGAGTTGGTCCCAGAATGTAAGACCTAATATAACCAAGAAAAAAGGATTGGATTATCTGTTTATTTGCCTGTTTTCTTTTGTAAAATGTTTTTTCCCCCTGAAGACAGCTTGAGGTTATAATGTATAACAGGTGCTAGTCTCCTCAGAAAATCTACCTACCTAGGTGTTTTCCTTGACTCCTCACTATCTTTCACTCTCCATTTACAAACTGTTGCCTTTTGCTTTTTCTATTGATTTCACCTTTGCATTAAATCTCAAATATGACCTCTACTCTCTTCTGATACTTCCACCACCCTGGTAGAGGCCCATATCACCTTTGGGTGCAATAGCTTGCTGGTTGGTCTGCCTGCCACAAATTTCTTTCCCCATCCTTCACTCAGCCATCCTCCACTCAGTCATCAAACTGAATTTCCTAAATCATAGGTTTGACCATGTTACACCTCCCCACTCAATAAACTCCAGTTATTCCAGGTCTAAATACAGCATTCTTTGTTTGACATTTGAAGTCCTTTATAACCTAGGTCCCCTTCTACACCTCCACCTTTCCAGTTTTCTCATATCTTACCCTGCCATATAAGCTTTGATCCAGTGACACCGGCCTCCTTACTGTTCCACAAACAAGAGATTCCATCTCTTGACTCAGAGCATCTTCATTGGCTGTTTCCTATGCCTAAAATTTTTCTCCCTTTACATCTTTGCCTCCTTTTTTCCCTAGATTTCTTCAAGTCTCAACTAAAATACCACCCTCTATAGAAAGCCTTTCCCAGCTCCTCTTAATTCTAGTGCCTTCCCTCTGTTAATTATTTTCTATTTATTCTGTGTATGGCATCTTTATTATTGTCTCCCCTATTAGATTACCAGTTCCTTAAGGGGAGGGACTGTATTTTGTTTTTCTTTATATCCCTAGTGCTTAGCCCAAAGCCTGGCATATAAAAGGTGCTTAATAAATGGTGATGGACCATCTAGTGACCGGCATCATGGAAATTTGTCAAGTTTGTTTTATGGAAATATTTCTCCTGATCTTTTCAGGTACAATTTTATGGCAATTATACTTAAATGCATAAAAATAATCAATACACACTATATAAGATACACTAGAAAGAGAAATGCATGTTAAAAGCAGATAAAATTCACAAAGCAGTGTCTGTTACATGATTAACTCTTAAAATAGCAAACTAGTTTCTGGCATAGCCTCACAGCATCACATACACTACTCTAATCACAGTATTTAATGAGATGACAGTATTTATTTACTGCTATATTTTCCCCAAATTATACTGAAACAACCTTATGTGAGCTATAGGTTTAGTGTGCCCACATAGTCTCTCATATATATATGTATATATATTCACATATTTACTTGATATTAAATAACTACTAAAATTACCTGTTAAATAAAAAAAAAACAGTAACTCTTACCAAGTAGCCCTCAGTATACTGAAAATGCACTCTGGAACTCTCTTCTGCTGTTGGACTCAAAGGTTTTGGGTCAGACATTGACCTCTGCATCATTTTTGCAGTCTTTGGGCTTGCTGGTGGAACCTTTGCCATGTCTGGGTGCAATATTTTCTGAGGGCTGATATCATCAGTGATGGGTTTTTCATAAGGTACAAAGGCTGATTCTAAGGCTTTGCCTGGTGAAATTGGAGAAATCGGTGAATAAAGAACTTTTGGGGATTTTGGTGGGGATGGTACTAGCTGTAGTGTGGAATCTGCCCGAAGATGAGACGAATAACCTATTTCTAAAGGTGTTGGACGTTTCTTGTCTTTGGGGGAAGATGTGGCACTCAAATACTGAGGACTCTGTGCATCGGGGTCCATCTCTGTTTGACATCCTAAACTTCCACCTTTGTATGTCTTTTCAGGAGCTGAAATGTGTTTGATTATTTCAACTTTTGCATCCACTCTAGCACGTATAGAAGGTGTTCTTATGGTCCCAACTGGTTCAGTCTGCACTGATATTTCTGCCACTGTTTGGACTGCTATACTAGACACCTTGGAGAGGGGTTTAGTCTTGTCAATTTCAGGGGTGCTATCACTATATTTTCCAGGACGTGATTTTCTCCGTGATCTACTGGGCATATCCCACTCATCCTGATCTTCATCATCAGTCTGGACACTGGTATCCACGCTTTTTTTACTTCTCCTTCTCCTATTGGTATAATTTCTGTCTGCTCCATCTTCATCATCAGTTTGTACTCCACTGTCTACTATCTTTTTAAAACACCGGGGATCCTCACCCACAGTTTCCTCAAGCTCATCATACTGACCACGCAGCTTGGTTCCAGAGGTCCTCTTTTTAAGTTGCTTTTCCTCCTTCACAACAACATCAGTTAGAGGCATCTCAGAAACAGTAGTCAGTATCCCAGGTGGAGCAATGTATTGAGTAACGCCATCGGATTGAACCGTGTACCAGCCTTGGCTCTGAGGGATTTCAATGGCCACTACGGCTGAAGCTGTGGTGGTGACATCTTCAGCGGGCCAAAACTGGGTGCTCTCCACGGCTGGATACTGACCTTCCAGGATTGCTTGTTCGGCCGTAGTTTGTGGTGAGGCTGTTCCGGAAGGATCATAGCTGTATTGGTAGATCTGGCGGATCTTTTGCTCTTCTAGCTGCTGGTGCAGCTGCTGCTGAAGTTGCTGGATTTGCTCAAGCTGTAGTTGTTGCTGCGCTAACGTTTCCTGCCTCATCATAAACTGAGCTTGCCTCTCTTCTTCCTGCTGTAAGAGGAGGTGCTGCTTCATAGACTGCAGCTCCTCCAGTTTCTTTTGAACCATAAACTTCTCCTGCTCTCGGAATCTTTGTATTTCCTGTCGTTCCCACTCCAACTCCTCGGCGAAGCGCTGCTGCTTAATTTTCTCAAGCTCCAGGAGCTCCCGCTCCAGATCAAGCTGCTGCTGCTTCTCCTCTTCAGTGTCAACGACAAGAGCACTGTCGTCTCCCAGGACTTCAGGAAACACCTCAGATGCTGTGGTCAAAGTGGGAATCACTTCAATGGCCTCGGCAGTGAGACTTTCCGCAGTCAGAGTTTGCAAGCTTGTTTCGATATCTAAAGCGGCCGCAGAACCGTCCTTCTTAGAAGCTCCAGTTGTTAGGAAACCATATGATCTAGGCAAGGGCTGGGTCTGCTGCAAAGCAGACAAACATGTTATTGCATCGGTTGTGTGAACGCCAGACAAATCCCTCACAGTGGTGCTGAAAATAGAGCCAGGCTGAGTAGTGATAGCAAATGAAGAAGGGATTGGAGTTGCTACTGAAGAATAGACCACACCATTGGAGGATCTCAAAACAGTCCCCATGCCGTACGGGGATCCTGGTGGAGGGGTCATTCTTGCTGTAGAATACTGTGGTGCACCAATCCCAGTGCCTGAAATAACTTGTCGAGTCTCAGGATAGGGACCTGTGGTCTTGCTTGAATAATCCATTACCTCACCTGAAATATAGGGTAGAGTTACAGTCCAGTTCCAAGAAAGTATGGTGCTTTGTGCGTCTGAAAGCCCTCTCATCTTGATGAACATAATGGAGAGAACTGCATGCAAATCCACAGTTTAGCCTACTTATATGCAGAGAGAAAGCAACGTTGAACATGCAGGCACATGCAGGCAATTTGGGCAGAAAATAAGTAAAATGAGGAAATTAAAAAAAATGCAAGTGTACTCCACAATATGCTGCCATACCATTGAAAAGAAAGGGAAAAAAAAACATAATGGGAAAAAAAAAGGATAAAAATTTCATCCTGAAATTAGATGAGCGACCCCATAATGATATTTCAACGAAAGATCTGCTGCCTTGTCATACTGACCTGCAGTTATTCTTCCAGAAGTTAGATCTACTGCTGTATCAGCCCCATCAGTATAATCAAAGGTATTCTTACTCTTATAAAGAAAAACTCCAGTGTCTGCTAAGTTTGTGTCAGACATGGAAGGCTTCATGCCTCCAATTCCTCTGTAACCATATGACCCTGACCGATCATACTGGTAGTGATCATCCCTGTAACCAAAACGATCTTCTGGAAGAGTAGTGGCAGGCTGTTGTGTCGTACAGCTTCTTCCAAATGGTAACTTGTAAACAACATCACAGCACACCGCTCTTCTCCCTGCAGTCAAATCCACTGGTTTCTCATCATCTTCTATGACAGTAGTCACAACACCTGAAGTAGATTCATCCACTGTGACTACAGTTCGATGAGACTTTGTAGTGCTGAGATCCACTGCACCACCATCTTGAGGCCCCTGAGATGTGGAGAGATCAGCCCATCCATTTGTAACACTAGGTGGAGGTGCAGTAATAGGTTTGGTGGTAGGCAATGTTACTGCATGGGCAGAAGTACTTAAAGATAAGTTTATTGGTGCTTCCTCCCTTAGTGTGGGGAAGACTGGGACACTTGTTTTTCTGTATGTAGGCTCAGCATGTTTTGATGTTGTTAACTGAAGTGGTGTCATCATCGAATGATCTGCCCCAACCAAGCTTTCTGTGCTTGTGGTATAACTTACGCTAGTTGTACATGTCACAACAGCAATAGTTTCTGTGACCAGGGCTAGTGGTGCTACTACTGATGATGTTGCACTGAGGTTTATGATAGCAGGTTGAACAGTGCTGATTTGTCTGCCATAAGCCTCACTTGCTGTGGTCTGCCTTCTCACATCCACCGGAGAAGCAGACAGATCCATGCAGCTTCCAGGTATTTCACCATCAACCTTTGGTACCATACGTAGATCAATAACATCCCCAAAGAGTTGAAACTTTCCATTTTCTTTATATCTTGGTTTCTGTAATGCTAAGGGTTCTTGAGGCATGGGCTCTGGAGGAATCGTTATAGAAACACTACTTGAATCAACACTAGGAACTGTGCTGTCTACTAATGAAACCATGGTTTTAGTCGCTTCACTCAATAGTAATGGAGTTACTGAACCTGGGCCTACATGGAACAAAGACTGTGTCACGACTGGGGCAGCATAGAGAGTCTGTAAAGCACCTGAGGAATACAGGCTCTTATCTGATGTGCTCTGAATCTCCACACTTGTCACAGGAAGAACTGTAGTAAATACAGGCTCCAGAGAAACCAGTTCCTTAGAAGGTGACCCCAAAGGCCAGCTCGTCACTGCCTGACTAGTTAAAGAATCTGTTGGAGTTCCTGGTTCAGATGGCAATGTTATAACAACATAAGTCTCCATCAATGATTTGGAAAACCTTGGTGAAGACTTGTTGGAATGTGGTGACAAGGGGGATGTAGGAGATGGCAGTTTATAATCGACTGAAGTCACTAAATTCAACATCATACTGGAAGTTAAGGATAAACCTGTTGGTTTGGGATGTGTATCCACTGGCATCTGTGTAGTTATTGGAGGCTGAGGAATTGCTGGTTTAGGAGCAATTGGAGGTTTGGTTCCCTCAACAGACCTGTGAGTAAATACAAGTCCTGATGGAATTGAAGATGGCTTAGGTGGAACAGGAGGTGGTGCAGGAGTGTATACTTTTGTTACAGGTGTCACATTGTTCCTTGGGATAACAGCAGCCTCCACAGGAGCAACAGTGTCAACTGAAGGTACGACAGCAGCTGACGTCACTGGAGGAGCTTTCAATGACTTCTTTTTAGGATAAATAGCAGGTTTAGGAGGAGTTGGTGGGGGAAGTGGAGGAGGAGGAGGGGGAGGAGGAGGAGGAGGAGGAGGAGGAGGGGGAGGAGGAGGAGGAGGAGGAGGGGGAGGAGGAGCAGGCGGGGGTTGGGCAGATGAATCCAAAGAATAACTTCTCCAAAGAAGAGGTGCTCTAGGTGTCACAGCAGGAACTGAAGAAGTCATAGATGGCAATTGTGATACTGTATCTGTCACCTCTCTAGACATAGAAGAAATTGTTGATATTTGATCACTAACTGGAACTGCAGTGGTACTTGGAGGTGGTTGAGCAGACACAGAATCTACAGAGCTAATTCTACGTAGTGAAGGTACAGGTGCCTTCCTTTTATCTTTGTAAGTTTGCAGCACAACACCATTTCCATTTTTACTCTTAGTTTTCTTTACTGTATCTTCTTTTTCAGACACAGATGAATCAACAGAAAAAGATTCAGAAACAGACTGCTTCGGTTTGGCTTCTTCAGGTAATGTGACAGACAGTGGAAGATCAGGAAGAGAAATTGTGACATGATCAACAATTGTTTTAGGAGGGGGTTGGGCAGTCTGATCTAAAGATACAGCTATTTCTGAATACACTGTTGTGTCTACTGGAAAGGGAGGTAATGATGGAATCTTTTCAGAATCCTGAAATTCAGCTAGTTGGTCCACCGTATCTATAAAAACTGCAGTTGTGGTTTCTGGTGCAGTAATAGGTGAAGAGCTATCTGTTGTACAAACTGATGAAATGGATGATGTAAGAGAAGGCGTGTCGGATGGTAGCACAGATGTTGCACTTTCTGAGGGCTCAGAGTATGCTAAAATAGATGATTCATGGGCAATTATCTCTTGAATTTCTCTGGTATAATCAGTTATATATTCATCCTCTATTTCCTCTGGCGAAAAGTGCTGTGTTATTTTCACGTCTGGGATAGAAAGTGTTGCACTACTAGTTGAGTCTGTGAGTGACGCTCCTGAGAGAATACTAGATGTCAGTGAGGTATCGGGCATCCTGTCAAAGTCTACTGTAGGCTCTGTTGTATCATGCTCAGTGGCTGGTTGAGTTGGACTAGACCCTGGGGTCAGCTGCATTTGTTGTCTCTTCATGAGTTCCTCATAGGCTGCATCTGCATCTAATAACTGTTTTTCTTCACTCGTTGATGTTACCATAGCACCTAGATCCACAATTTCATGACTCTCAGGGATGATATATGAGCTTGATACAATATCTTCTTGAGGCACCATAGAGTGTAAACTTTCTAGCTCATAAAATTCTTTCTGCAGATCTGAGATTTTCTGCATAGGATCTTCATAGATTTCCTCTGGAAGTCTCATTTTTCTCTCTCTCCCTCCTGGCTGCATAAATTCACTACCTTCATCTTGTCTTGTTAATAGACTGCTATCAACAGCAACATTGTATGTGTCTTCTACGAGAGATTCATAAATATAATCCTCTATTAGCATTCCACCATATAATGGCTCCTTCTCAAACACTTCATCTTTCTCTGTTGGAGTTGGAAATGCTTTTGATTTGTGGGATTTATGTATCATTTCTTCATACATTTCCTCAGCACTTTTTAATACCTTTTGACCACCTTCTTTTTGAATTGCAACAGATTGTTCGTCTGTTGGAGAATATAAAGAAACAGCTGTGGGCAATTTATAAACTTTTTGCACTTCTATTATTTTTTCTGGACTAATTTCAAACCCTTCTGGGTCTGATTCTATGCTTGGTGAATATTCCGAGCAAGAGGATCGATGCAACTCCTCCATCTCTGCAGCCTGACGTAATTCTTCTGTAGGAGATGCATCTTCAATTGGAGAGAGATTGCTGGGTGGTGTCTTTGGCCTTTCTCTTCTTCTTTGAGCCCGAAGTTCATCTTTGTCTTTCTTTGATTTTTTACTGGAACTCTTTCTTTGCTGCTGTTCTAATTCACGTTGTTTTTCTTGCTCCTTTAATAATTCTTCTTCTTCCCTCATCTCCTCTTCTTCTGAAGAATCTTCAATAGTGGGAAGAAGAGGACCATGTGATCGGTGTCTAGATTTGCGCTGCTTACTCTCTCCCTTTTTGTGGCTAGGACTACTGTCACTGTCCTCATCAAGAGATGACACTGATGTGGGAGATGTGCCAGGTGTGAAACTGGAGGCATGCAGACTAGATGATCCTTCTCCTCGTGACCTATCTTCTGGTGAATCCGTAAGACTTTCCATTTCCAGTTCTGGTTCTTCATCAAAATATAAACTTGTTTTCTTTTGCACAGAGTCTTCAGAGTATTTATCGGTCACTGTGCTATTTAATTCAATGGTTTTGAACCTCCTAAGACCTCCTCCACCAGTAACAGTGAGTTCTTCACTCTCCTGACTTTTGGTTTCTCTATATTTTAGTTCTGGGCTCTCATCGAATGTCTCATCATCTTCATCATGCCAGGAATGGCGTCTCCCTGCATCATCATCAAAGCTTGTACTACTTTTTCTGGTGAGTCGCCTATGCTTCCCAATTAACCCTTTCCCCTTTCCTTTTGTTTCTTCCTTCTTCTGGCTCTCAGTAATACTGATTTCTTTGAGTTGTTTCCTGATGAAATCATCATCTTCTGAACCAGAGGCATCTTCATCAGCACTCATCTCTATGATCTGTTTTCGAATGAAATCTTCATCATCACCTGATCCTTGACTGTCTTCCTGTTTATACTCATCACTGCTTGATGAACCAATACTAGCTCTTCTTTTCCTTCTTGAGACAGGGGAGTTTTCACTTTCACTGCTGTCTTCTAGTGAATCATAACGCTGCCTTCTAGCTGTCACATCATCTACAAAGTCAGTTTTTTCTCTGAGGGCCTTTATGGAAGGAATAGTTTCTTTATCACCTTTTACAGGGATATCTTTCTTTTCTTCTTGAACTTCCTTGAGCTCTTCCTCTTCTGAGCTATAACATTCCAGTATGACAGGAAAATCCTTGGTTTTCTGTTGATCTCTGGGCTGCTCAGGAAGCCTATCATATAATTCCTTTTTCTTTTCTGATTTTTCTTCAACAAGTGAATTCACTTGAGCTTCCAAAATGGACAGAACAGTACTTTCTAACTTTGCTAGATCTGAAGGACTTGTAGGACTACTTTCTTGAGGATGAGAATCTTTTTTGAGTTCCTGTGGCAAATCCTTTTCATCACCTGGGATAAGACTTGGAATTTCACCAAGGGAACCTGATATTCCATCAGAAGAATATCCTGTGTCACTCAAACCTTGAGGGCTTTTCTGTTGCTGAGAACTTGATGCATCTGATTTGTCATCTTCCTTTTCCTAAGGAAAAAAAAAAGATATATCAAAACTTAATATTATTGAATTACTATATTTATTATCTCTATGACTCCAACTAACTCATTTGAGAAATACTTAAGAATCCTCACAAGAACTGCAATTAAATTATCAATCAATGTAAAGGAAAGATTGATTATGCAAAAAGTTAGAAAATCATAAATAATTATAAAACATATTTCAAAAATGCTACTGACATAGAAGTTTTCTGTTTATAAAAACAACCCTTTATATTTTTGTTCCATATATCATTTGATGATAACTTTTCCTACTGGAGATTAATTTCTTATGAAAAATAATTTACAAGTCAATTATGTTAACATTTTACTATTTTGTGTAAAATATGATTGCATTTCAATTTTAGCTCAAATAACCCTTTCATTTCAAAGATTAATAAGTGAAGGCCTAGAGAGGAGAATTGGCTTACCAAGGTCCAATAGTCAGTAGAGGTGAGAGTCAAGGTTTTGATTTTAGCACTCCACTCCAAATTCAGTGTCTTTTTGTGTGAGTGTGTGTTAGGAGACTGCCTCTTTGCATATATATGGAAGTATATTCAAAGTATTTATTTAACAGTATATTTCAAGATACGAATGAATAGATTCTCAACTTGAATTGTTTCATGGTTTTACAGCATGATTTAGAGTAAGAAAACCAGAGTTTTGGTGTTGGCTCTGTAACTTATTAATTGATTAGGGGTCATGGGAGTTGTAGTGGAATGCAATCTCAATAGGTTTTAATAATGAGACATGGCAGCAAAAAAAGCTTACTTAATCTTAGATTGCATAAAGAGACAGTCAAGTTGCCCAAACAGAGGAAACATGAATATCTGTCAGGGTTTTGTAGAGGGACTTCTTATTCCCAAACAGGTTAAATTATTTGATATCTGGGGTTCCCCAATTGTGAGTTTCTATGATTCTGAGAATGATCTTGGTCAAGTCAATAAACTTCTTTGTCCCTCAGCTATAAAATAGGTATAAAGTTACTGCCTTGCTTACCTCACAGGATATAATGAAAAGAAAATGAGAATTATAGGTATGGTAAAATGCATTTCAATCAGTAAAGTCCTTTGAAATGATGTCATTTTTACTGTAGCCTATTGAACCTAATAAGAGGGGAACTAGAAGCCTATGTTCCCCAGTATCAAATCTTTCCTTCAACTTGCCAAGAACCAAAACTAACAATAAACAAAACAACCCAACAACCCCCCCCAAAAGCTAAACTATTGCTTCATAAGCTCAGCAATAATCACATTAATTTTCTGTAATGGATGTTAAAACATTTCAAAAATGCTTCTGATACTAAAATTTTTTGATTATTAAAAAAATCTTCATATTTTAGATATTTGCACCTTTTGATGATAGCTTTTCCCAGTGTTGATTAAAAAAAGTTATACTAATGTTGCCTAAATACTAGTTGACATAAAACCTTTTATTCTTAAGGAGAAAAAATATACCATCCAGTCTTTATGGAAAAATACTTTTGTATTTTAGATGATTAAAATTAATGATCTAAAAGATTTTTGAGATAACTGTTCTATATCCTATATCTATATCTATATTTTAGTAATACGATTTCATGCTATTATTGGAAGGTAATTTATACTTAATATCAAAGGCCTATGTCAAATGTGTGAACACTTGAGATTACATGTGGTAGGGAAACTTTTCTGTTCAATTGATAAGATCAGAAAAACACAAACAGCTCAAGCTACCCCCTTCATATTCTAGAGGAGTTATATTGGATTAAGATCTTCCTTTGACCTTACTGATTTCTCTTCAGGATAATAATATTCCTCTTTATTTAGAAGCATTTGTCACCACTAGAAAAATAAGGCATATGATAGTTGCTGGTTGAAAGGCTTCTTGCATATTGCCTTTTTAATTGTCCATCCACTCCCACCTTAAGGGAAACACATTTGGGAAGGATATAAGGTCAGCAAATTCAACAAAAAATCAGTTTAGACACACATATAGAGAAAATAGTTTTCACTTTTTCCCATGTACCCTGAACATGTTTGCACAAGCCATCCTTATGCCATCCTTTTTGCAAATCCTTTACCTTCTCCATTCTACCCCACTTTCCTTTTTAATACCACATCATTACACCACCAATATGAGAAAGACAATCAAATTATGTTTTTCCTAAGGGATTGTCAAGAAAATACTTACTATTCTATGTTTTAAAATACTGATATTCTATTATAATCTGTAATTTATATGTATAATATAGAATATATAAAGTTCTAGTTTATGTTTATCTAATATTACATATGTATGGTTGTATACATACATGTGTGTGTGTGTGTATATATATATAGACAGATGATAGGGAATGGAACTGTGATTTCAATTGTATAGAGAATCCTATGATGAAAAAGATACCCTTCATAAACGTAGCTTGGTATTTTCTCTACAACCTATGGTTTTAGAGAATTCTCTAAAACCTCAAGAGGTTAAGTAACTTCTGGGGTCACAGAGTCAGTATGGATCAGATGTGGGACTTGAACCCATGTATTCTTGTCTCTTCAAGACCAGGGCTTTATGTATTGCACACTATCTGCCAACATCTATCTATCTATCTATCCATCTATCTATCTATCACATAATGGTCATCAATACACATACATGTATGTGCACAAATATACATGTACATATACATATGTACATACCTATATGTAGAACTATCAAAACACATAGATATGTAATTTTAAACATGGAAAATGTGTTTAAAAAGAGCTTATATATTAGATAAGATGTTGGATGTGTGAATGTGTGAATGATCTGTAATTTTGCCAGTGCAGGGACTTCACAGTTATAGTAACTTCTTTCATCAACTCAAAAAGTAACCTGCCTATGACTTCCTGAATGAATCCTATGAAACTGCCTCATGCACGCAGAAATAAAAAGACTTGAATTATGTCATACAGTATCAGGGGTCAAACCTGAATCCAGGTCTTCCTGAAACCACTCTCAGAACTCTTTGCACTACGCTATGCTGCCACTAAGATATTAGTTTCTAAAAGATGAATTTGTGTTTTATCAATGACTTTTCACTGATCTAATATGGAGTCTTCAATGACCTTTTATGGTGAGAGTTAGCCTCTGGCACATATTTAAACATAATTGAAAAACAATTAGTGAGTCCCTAATCATCTGTAAAATGAGCTGGAGAAGGAAATGGCAAACCAGTAAAGTATCTTTGCCAAGAAAACCTGAAATGGGGTCACAAAGAGTTGGACACAACTGAAAAACAACTGAATTGAAAATATTTGATATCGTTGCAGCAAAAAGCTACTTTCCAAGGCCGTTTTGATCCTAAGAACTTCTACTGAATAATATCTAAGGTTAACCTTTTGAACATTTTAAAAGAAGGCTGCATTCAATTAAATACATATAGTTTGCTTACTGGAACTATTATGCTACTCTACTCAAATAAAAGAAAACTATTCATTTTCAAGGATATTCTAATTTCAGTTAAAATATAAAAGATTTTTAGCTCATGATAGGAGAATGCATATACACCAAACTCAGTGGCATTCAGTTCAAGAATTGAAACTTCAATACTCATAAACATAAGACTTTGTGCCACATATTTTTGTGGGGAGAAAAATCACATTGACTTGAACTCTCTATTTCCATATAATATTCTAGGTCAGTGGTATTAAACTCAAAACACATTCCTGTGAATGGCATGTTGACTTGTAAAACTGCCAATTAACATTACTGATATGACATTATATTTTTCTTTATTTTATTAAACATGTCCTACTTACATTTTAATCTTTTCAGAAGTGGTGCGAAATTTTGTGGGCTGCTTGCTTGCTGTGTGAAGGTTGCAAATTTGACTTCTCTTCTAGATCATTCACTATCATGCGTTTGTCTAGGCCTTTCCTTTGATTTCACTCACTCAAGGTCTACTTCCTTTTAGCCTCCATCATTATCTCTACCAAAATGTGTTGCCATTAATATTTAATTATAAAGATTGTAATTCAAGACAATTTCTGAATGGTGTTTATACCAACTGTCATGGTTGTCTACCATGACTGAAGGAAAGCACATATGAGATAGCTAGCTGAAGGGAACACTGCCATTTATGTCCTTGAAAGGGTGTGGGTAATTAACTGGACAACACAGTAGAGTGAAAGGAGCACTGGCCTTGAAGTCAGAGGAGCCAGGTGCCATTCCTACTTTGGATGATACCCTTTGGTAACTTTGGGCAAGGTTCTTTAACTTTCTGGTTCTCAGTTTTGCTAATTTGTCATATAAGGAGGTTGATAAAACAATGTCTGAGTTCCCTCCTGCCTTTAGATCCAGAATCTATAATACTCATAAACTTGGCTTAAATTTCATCTGCTATCTAACTTAGATAACTTGCTCAAGCAAGAGAGAACATGGGGCAAAAAGACATAAAACATAAGTTCGCTAATTCCTCAAATATTTAGAGGTAAAGGTGGCACAAATTTACCAGTTAAAAATTGTATGTGGCTTTATACAAGGAAAGAAAAATGGGGTCTCTCTCCCAGGCAATTTTGTAGCCAACAAAAAGACCTAGATCCTCTTTTCACTGCAATGTAATTCAATTCAAAAAACCTTGTAGTAAATACCCACTATGTGTATGGGCAGCTAGGTGGTGTAGTGGGTAGAGCACTGGGCTTGGAATCAGGATGACTCATTTTCACGAGCTCAAATCTGGCCTCAGACACATGTGACCTTGGGCAAGTCACTTAACCCGATTTGATTCAATTTCTCATCTATAAAATAGGCTGGAGAAGGAAATGGCAAACCACCCCAGTATTTTTGCCAAGGAAACACCAAAAGGGGTCACAAAGAATCAGGCATGACTGAAACAACTTGACCACAACAACACAAAAACAAAACTATGTGCAAGAATTATCAAAGTATGGTCTATTCCTTGAGGAGTCTTACAATCTTTAGTGCATATGCATCAATAAATGATTGCATAATAAAGCATTGCAAAAACAGGAG